CGCTTGGCTGTCCGCGCTCGCGTCCGATTCCTCCGCTTCCTCAGCCAGTTGCTTGATCGCGTCCCGGACCTGCTGGCGGTTCATCCAGAGCTCGAACGGGCACTGGGCGGAGAGAAGAGCGAGGAGCTGTTCTTCCGTCGTGTCGGCGTGACCCTCCGCACAGAGGCGTATGAGCAGAGCTCGAAGGACAACAATTGTGAAAGAGCTGAGGTCGTCAGCGACGGTGTGAGTGAGCGGTCGCCTCTGCATTAGGTCATCGAGCAGGCGAGTGGGTATGAACTGGATGTCGTCCGGAGCAACAGTGATGTTGCGCTGAGGTACTTATTTATCAGCGACGATCACTGGCATGCTATGCATTTTGCTCACCGAAGCCAACGCTGAGCCTGAGGAAGACATGAAGTTGCAATGGGGCTGACTATGGTGCGAGTATCTAGGACAATGACATGGTGTCGTTGGAATGAGGGAACGCGACGTGTGCATGAACACTGGCTTGACGTAAAGCCATACCGCGCCTACTCCACCGGAAGTAACGGAGTAGCCTCATTACTGTGTAATCTTTAAAGACCGACTTTTGAGCGGTTGCTGCACGTTGGGACCCCAAACCTGTCAGGAAGAAGCTTGATGTCCATGTGGATTGGAAGGTGTCGTGGTGCGCAGCAGGAGTGGTACAACCGTGCTTGCCTCAATGCCCGGTCGATTCAGTCCCAGTGGCTGGTACAGGAGCGTATAAAATGTGTTATGAGTAATCTGGAGTGTCAGAGTAATTCTGCGTTGAAGGATACCAACGCGTGCGGCTTAGTGAGGTGGTACAGTTGTAAAACGCGACGCTTACAGGCTTCAGCCACTGACGCGTGCCAATTATCCCACGTGATCGCGCAAATCCGAATCAGTCGCTTCAAGCAGCGCCCACAGGTTGCTTCCGTTCCACGTCTTGCCTTTGAACGTCCTCCACCTCGTACTCGCGACAGCACATCACACATCATACATGACGGAGGAGCGACCTGCAGGTCAGTATTGGCAAACAGTGTACATCTTCCTCTCAACCAGGACTCCGCATATAGTCACATATGTCGCCGAGAAGAGGCACCATCCGGTCAATTTCCTAATCGCTTTCAAGAGCACGGAGAGCACGTCCCCCGACGGTCCACACCCCGAAGTAGCGCGGAGTAATGAGGAGACACGTCAGTGTGCTCCTCATGACGGTGAGCCCACTTGTTGAGAAATGCGTACGCATCTGAACGGCGTTCACCTAGAGTCTCTCGAGTTGTCAGAGCAGATCGTACGCATTCCTTATGTTGCTCACATTAATACACTGCACAGGCTCTTAGGCTGCTTCTGCTGCGCTTTTGCTGCGGGAAGAACGACACTCTGACGCTTCTCGGGCCAAGTCGCCTGTGCAAGAAGCATCCCTCGGTTGCGCTCCTCTGTGTAACTCCGATGTCGCTCGCACTCGTTCTCCCTCGTCAGCATACCACCTACCTGCCTACTCACGGCTGAAGACGTCATCCGCGGCTTGGCAAGAGAAGGCAGACCTCACCCTTGACCTGGAGTCTGCCAGTGCTGTGGACGACCTCCTGCTTGCTCTCACGGAGCCATATCTGATGGATTGGTGTCTGCATTAGCTGACGTTGCTTTTGAATCGGAAGTCTCTTGTATTCATACCTGGTTGTACCTCCCCTGTTCGCATCAATTGCACGACATTCAACTCAATCTTCGAGGCAGCTCGCAGTTGAGAGAGTTCGTTGCCAGGTTGTCGAAGCGTACGCCCCGGTCTTACGCATTCGAAATGTTGCCTGCGAGACGGACGACTCCTGATAAGTTGGGTCTGAACGACGTAGAACGCGTCAAGAAGGCGTTTCCTCCATAACCCGTGTCAACGGTCCAAGGCTCAGCTTTCTCCGGTGATTCTCCGTCGCAGCCTACAAGTTCCACTTCACACTGACTTGGCATGTTTCAGGTACCATCAAGCTCGTATGAACGTGCATACCTAGTTTGCGATCCAGGAGCGAGCGATAAATATGTACGTGCTTGTACGTGCCTACCCGGAGCCCATTGGCATCAGCTGGCGCGGACGTGGTGGCTTACGGCGGATGCTGTGGTCCGGTCTGCCGGGTAGCCTGCGTCCGCGGCCCGCCCTGTACTACAGGCATCTACACTGTACAGGCATGTGCACATGAGGTATGTATGCAGACTCCAATTCCGTGGCTTTGAACAAGGTTCTTCCACCAGGCACCTAATAGCTCTAGCTCCGGGTGACTCTCACCCGGGGGTCGTTCGTCGCCCGGAGCCGTACAATGGCTGTGGAACCCCGAGGACAGACGGGGTAGCGATGTGGCCACGGAATTGATGGCCACCCCGCATCCTGGTCATGAGATTGATGTGAAAGTGGCTTTCCCCACCCTCCCCGCACTCTGCGTCTCGCTTGGCATCCAACGGCGGACGGGCAGCTGGTCTCTCGCACAAGTCCAAGCCGTATTCAGCCATTGCAACTACGAACATATAAAACATGAGGTACGCGAAGCGTAGAATCCTCGGCCTCCGCCCTCCATTTAACTGACCGCTTCTCTCGTCGGCCGCAGCTCGCATTCTTCGCCTTCGACATCGAACGGGCGGAACAGCAGTGGCAAGCATGACGCGTCCGAGCTCACTGCGTGAGGATAGCTACGAGGATGACAAGCTTTCGCGCGATATCGCTAGCCCGACGGTCCCGATCGGCGGGTTGGAGGGCGCGAAAATCGAGGAGACGATTTACAACCCGGAGCTGAAGGCGGCCATCGAGAACACGCACCTCGACCCGCTGGGCAAGCGGGCCATTGCGTTGTACTTCGCATGCGTCGTCTGTTTCATGAACGCTGTTTCAAATGGTGCGTTCGATCTTTCTTCTTGCATGCATGTGTTGATAGGTTTGAATGCACAGGCTTCGACGGGTCACTAATGGGTGGCATCAACGCCATGACGCAGTACCAGGAATTTTTCGGGTATAAGGAGACGGGCGCGAGTACTGGTATCGGTATGTGCACTCACTTTACTCCCTTCTTCCTACCCTCGTTTGACTCCTGGTCTTGATTCCCAGTGTTCTTGATCTACGTCGTCGGCCAATGTGCTGGCGCGTTCGTCGCGGGTCCCGCGAGCGAGCGGTTCGGCCGTCGTTTGGGCATGGCGATTGGGTGCTCTATCATCCTCGTCGGCGCAGCGATTATTTCGGCGGCGCAAAACCGCTCCATGTTCATGGGAGGGCGGTTCATCCTTGGATTCGGCATTGCGATCAGCACGACCGCCGCACCGACTCTCGTGACTGAGCTAGCTCCTGCACACTGGCGCGGACGTCTCGGAGCAGCGTACAACAGTGGGTCGGCTGCAAAGGGCGCATAGAGCAGAGTCCTTATTTGCCGTGGTGCACGATAGGTTGCTTCTTCGTCGGTGCCATACCTGCGACAGGAGTCATGGTCGGCTCGCAGACCATGAACAGTACTTGGTCTTGGCGTCTTCCTCTTCTACTCCAGGTACGCTCGTGCCTTTCCAACCACAGAAACATTGATCAAGGCTTGCTTGTCAGATTGTCCCTCCCATCATCGTCCTCTCATCCGTGTGGTTCATCCCCGAGTCCCCGCGTTGGCTCATCTCGCGCGGCCGGGACGAAGAGGCACGCGCGACCATGATCAAGTACCACTCGAGCGATGGCAAGACGTCGAATCCACTTATCGATCTGCAGTTGCGAGAATTCAAGGAAATGATCGAGGTGCGCAAGATGGAGGCCGTGTGGGACTACAGCTCGCTCTTCAACACTGCGAACGCGCGTTGGCGGATGCTTGCGCTCATCCTCATGTGCATCAACGGTCAGCTTGCCGGTAATGGGGTAAGTCACCCTCTCCTCTTCGTCCCGCGTTTTTTGTTTGTTTCTCTGACTATGGGCCTGTACGCTCTAGCTTATCACTTACTTCCTGCCGACCGTTCTCGCAAACGCCGGCGTCGCGGACAAGCACACGCAGCTCCTGTATAACTTCGCCAACAACATCCTCTCCTGTGCAGGAGCGTTCACCGGAGCCGCCTTCACCGACCGCCTCAACCGCCGCTCGCGTCTCTACATCGGCTGCATGGTCCTCGCCGTGCTTCTCGCCATCGTCGCCGCGCTGTCGTCAAAGTTTGGGCAAAAGGGCAACACGAACACAAACGGGGCGAACGCGACGATCACGATGATCTTCCTCTTCGGCATCTCGTACAGCTTCATCTACACCCCGCTGCAGTCGCTCTACTGCGCCGAGGTCATGAACCAGCGGATGCGCGCGAAGGGCATGGCCGTCCACGTCATCTTCGCCAACGCGGCTGGCTTCATCAACACGTTCGCGAACTCGGTCGGGCTAGAGCGCTGGGGGTACAAGTACTACTTCGTGTTCGTCGTCTGGAACGTCTGCGCGTCGGTTCTCTGGTTCCTGTTCTGCGTGGAGACGCGCGGGCGGACGCTCGAGGAGCTCGACGAGGTGTTCAACGAGCCCTGGCCGGCGATGGCTTCGGCGCGGAAACGCAAGATTGCGGTCAAGAAAGGTAGAGAAGGAGCAGTGGTTGAGGTGAGTTGTTTCGGCGTGCGTCGAGCGCGGCTCTGTCTTACGTCCTATAGGTGATTGATGACGATTCCGCTTGAACTTCAAAGTCTCCCCAGAACAGGCTGCGGAGCGACTGTGGCCATAGTTTGTGTATTGTATCAGTCAACAGTAAGAATCTCGCTTTCAAACTCACGTCTCTGCTGCCTCACACTTTGATACTATGCTTGGAGTTCGTGAGAGGGGCAGGTGAGAGTCCGTGACTGTATCTATGTAGAGGGAAGCATAACTCTCGAAGTCCTTGTGTGGACTCTTTTCTATCGGTACGCCCTTACTGACAGACAGTACGTAGCTGGTCTAACACAACAATTCGCCCCTCGATCAAGTATAGACGTTTTCAGATGGGTGGCTGCTATCATATGGGCTTGTCCCAGACGGTTCAAAAAGAAAGGGAAAGCATACTGGCCAACGCCGGGATCGAACCGACGACCTTGGCGTTATTAGCACCACGCTCTAACCAACTGAGCTAGTCGGCCATGAATTGAGTCTGCGCAGAGACGTCATGTGCCACGCCTAACTTGTTGAACTGTCCCTCTTCCCCTTCCTCTTGCCTCTCTCCCCCCTCGCGCTCATCTGCTGAATATTGTTACCGTCAGCTACCATACGCTCGGCAGACCACTCGGAGTGAATAAATTAAGTAGTACAACTACTTACCAGTGCAAGGTCTTCCGCATGCCATTTTGGAGGTTCCAGTCTGTGCGTGCTGCCCTAACAGGTAAGCGTCGGTTTGACCAGCATGCTCCGGGTGTCCGTGCATATTGACTATCTATCATGTTGTAGTTCACGTTATCATAGCATGCGGCACCACCTGCGATAAGTCTGCGGCAATCTGCGGCTACCGAACTCACTGTAGTAAAGGGGCCTGGCCTCTCTCACAGACAGACGAGTGGTGTCACCAAACACTGGAGCCATGCTGTACCTGCGTAGTGCGGCTCATGACACAAGACACGCCTCCGAGTGCCCAAGGTTTTCGAAGCACTGCAGCAGGATCAAGGGACCATCAAGCGTTCGATATCCCTCGGGAATTCGAAGCTGCGAAGCGAGAATCCGAAGAGAGGCTTGCAAGGGTTCCATCGTCCAAGCCATACCGGAGACGAGGCCCGGGGATGCCGGCATACGTAGCTATCCAGTCTGTCGAGATGGCTCAGTATTGCCTGGTCGGATGATTGCGTCCCACACGGCTCCAGAGATACGCCAATTCATCCCGCCCATGCGATTGCCGCCCCACGCGAGTATATATGTACAGTGGTATGCCCGATCCCGTCTCTTCGTGGGCTCTCCTCCTCACTCCACCATCAGACTTCAGTCCCCTTTGCCAGGTCTCGCAAGTCGTCTGCATGTCCGCTTCGCAGGTACAAGATGACCGCGACAGCATTGCCAAGGACCGCGTTGAGTCGGTCGCAAGCCCTGCGCCGCTCGAGGGTGCACGGATCGAGGAGACCATCTACGATGCCAAGCTCAAGGAGGCTATCGACAACACGAAGCTGGACCCGTTCAGCAGACGAGCGATCTCGCTGTACTTCATCTGTATGGTCGGCTTCCTGAACGCCGTGTCATCTGGTACGTGGAGCATATGATACACTTCACGCGCCTCTACAGGTCGTCTGACCCAACCTTGCATGACAGGTTTCGATGGCTCGCTCATGGGTGGCATCAACGCGATGCCGCAATATCTCGACTTCTTCGGGTACAAGGAGGTCGGCGCGAGCACTGGCATAAGTGAGTACGCTGTCGTACAATTTCTGAGAGCACTCTCATCGTGAAGTCTCGTCACTCTGCAGTCTTCCTCATCTATGTCGCTGGTAACTGCGCCGGTGCATTCTTCGCCGGTCCGGCGAGCGAGCGTTTCGGCCGTCGAGCAGGCATGTTCATCGGAGGGACCATCGTCCTCCTTGGCTCGGCCATTGTCACCGCTGCGCAGAACAGGGCTATGTTCTTGGGTGGCCGTTTCACGCTCGGGTTCGGTATCGCTATCAGCACCACCGCCGCGCCGACGTGGGTAACGGAGCTGGCGCCAGCCCACTGGCGCGGTCGTCTCGGAGCGATGTACAACAGTGAGTATCGCACCTTTGCTTAGCTCGCCATGATGTGTTTCTCACTTACGATGCTATTCAAGGTTGTTTCTTCATTGGATCAATCCCCGCTACCGGTGTGATGGTCGGTACGGAGACGATGAACAGCACTTGGGCCTGGCGTCTTCCCCTCATCCTGCAGGTAAGCTCCGGACGCGGTCTCAGTCGGTGTGGAATCTCGTTCTGAACCTTAGACCGAGTCAGGTTGTTCCTCCGGCGATTGTGATGTCCTGCGTCTGGCTCTGCCCCGAGTCGCCCCGCTGGCTCGTCTCGCGCGGCAAGGTCGACGAGGCGCGTGCGGTCATGATCAAGTACCACTCCAACGACGGCCAGACGAACCCGCTCATTGAGCTGCAGCTGCACGAGTTCCAGGAGATGATCGAGGTGCGGAAGATGGAGCCCGTCTGGGACTACTCGTCCCTCGTCGAGACCGCCAACGCGCGCTGGAGACTCCTCGCGCTTGCGCTCATGTGTCTGAACGGCCAGCTCGCCGGGAACGGCGTAAGTGCACCTTCTGGGGAATACGGTCAGGTCTGCTCACGGTATACATCATCAGTTGATCACGTACTTCCTGCCGACGGTCTTCAAGAACGCCGGTGTGACCTCGACGCACACGCAGCTCGTGTACAACTTCGTGAACAACATCCTCTCCGCCTTTGGCGCGTTCTCCGGTGCACTCGTCACTGATAGGCTCAACCGCCGCCCACGCCTCTACATCGGTTCCTTCGTGCTCGCGTGCCTGTTGTCCATCGTCGCCGCGCTATCGTCGAAGTACGGCGAGCCGGGGAACACGAACACAAACGGGGCGAACGCGACCATTACCTTCATCTTCCTCTTCGGCATCATCTACGCTTTCACGTACACCCCGCTTCAGGCTCTCTACTGCGCCGAGGTCATGAGCCAAAAGATGCGCTCCAAGGGCATGGCTGGTGCGTCTCTCCCCTTTCTCGATTTCGTCGGACCTGCACACGCTGACGCCGCCTACCACGTACTCCTGCAGTGCACATCCTGATCTCAAACGCCGCGGGGTTCATCAACACGTTCGCCAACTCGGTCGGCCTCGAGCGCTGGGGGTACAAGTACTACTTCGTGTTCGTCGTCTGGAACGTCTGCGCGTCCGTCCTCTGGTTCTTCTTCTGCGTCGAGACGCGCGGCCGCACGCTCGAGGAGCTCGACGAGGTGTTCAGCCAGCCGTGGCCCGCGATGGCGTCCGCGCGCAAGCGCAGGGTCGTCATCAAGGAGGAGGGCGACCGCGAGGTCGTGCAGGTCCTCGACGATAAGGCGTCGTCTGCGTGATGCGGTGAGCTGCATGTCCCACTGCATAACGTGGTGGGCACGCTTCGAGCCCGTTATTGCGGGCTACGACATGATTTTGTACGATTTTGAGTGTACGGATATAACGACCGATGGATCACGATGTATGTTGGATCTCTACCAGAGTAGCTTCGTCCGAAACCTCTGCGAAACCTTGCAAGTTCCGGCCTTGAAGCTCCAGGACGCTGACGGGCTTTCTAGGCTCGGAGGCGAGGCAGGCGCATTCGGAGGGAGGACAGAATACGGCTCATGAATCTGTGTAGCGTGTACATATATAACAATACGATACAACCCGTGAGCGGAAAATTATTAAGCAAGAAGCGATAACCAGAACTCCGTAGAAAGTGTGCCCATAGCAAGAATAGGACAAGCAGCACATGAGTAGTCGGCGGAAGCACAGCAAGATCGAGAGCATGCAGCAGAAACGGAAGCAAGCAGAGGTCGTAGGTCATATAAGAATCTTCAGCATGAGACGTGGAACGTGACGATGTCGTGAGTGTATCCGTTAGCGTGAGGGTGAGTGTGGATGAAGGTGTCGCAATGTGGTGGGTGTGATCAGGTATCACAGTCGTTTTGTGCTCGGTGCACCGCCAAAAGCAGATGTCATGTCGTCCTCGTCGTCGCATCACGCATCGAGGCCCTCTTCACGGAACCTCGACCGCACGCGCATGAGCGCATGTCCGAGCCAATTCATGCCCTGGCCGATCTGGCCATCGCCCCACGTCGTGTCCGGGTCCGAAAACACAAGGTCCGCGTTCCCCGTGCTCATGAGCAGCGCCCTTAGCTGCGGGTGCTGGATGAACTTCTGGTACAGTACTTCCTCCATCTGCGGCCGCCCGCTCATTGAGCTTCGCCCAACGAAAAGCGGAGAGAAACACGCACCATGTCAAGCGCAACCCCCTCCCAGTCCCGCTTCCAAAACTCCCGCATCCCCGACGCGACGGCGACCGCCTCCTCGGGCGTCCCGCAGTTCCTGATCTGCTCAGCCAAGTCCGGCCGGTGCGGCAGGAACTTCATCGCCTCGAGCAAATGCATCCCCGTCGGGTAGCTTCTGTGCTGGTAGTGCACCCGGTGCGGCGACATGTGCAGCAGGCCCGCATAGTCGGACCCATGCGTGATTTTGATCACTGGGGGAGGCGGCGGCGCAGGCTGCGGGGTCGGCATGCGCGCGGGGCCGGGGGAGTGGAGGACGGGGATGGGCGTGGGCGCGGGTCCCGGGGGAAAGACGGGGGTCTGTCCGTGCCCATGCCCGTAGCCTTGGGGGACGTGCGCCCCCTGGGGAATGACTGGGGGAGGAGGGTTCACTCCGCCTGCGGTGGGGGCAGCGGCCGGGACGTAGCCTGGCATCACCCCGGGAGGAGGAACGATCCCGGCGCCGGCCATTGGGACGGGCATCGCAGGGACGGGCATCACGGGCGGGTTGTATATGAGCTGTGTGCTCCCGTCGGGCATGTGCTGCACGATCGGGTATACCGCCGTCGACGTGCCACCGACGAACGTCTGGGGCTGCTGTGCCTCGAACTCGTCCTCGGACCTGCGCGAGCCGAGGCGGTGGCTGAGCGAGCGGAAGAGGCCCTTCCGCTTCTTCTCCTTGCTCGAGCGTGTGCTCTGGTGGTGATGTCCAGGTGCGCCCCCGATGTTGATCGCGCCGACGGTGTGAATCGCAGCGGCGCCGCCGAGGATCGCGTTCTCGTCGATCGGTTTCCGGAGCTCGCGCAGGACTCGCGCGTACGGCGACATCTGGAAGATGTCGCGCGGGGGTGGGGGGAGCGGGTTGTGACTGCGCTGGATGGGCTCGAACGGGCGTGGGCGGATCGGCTCCGGCTCCGGCTGGTAATGGTGATGGCGCTGGTGCCGCTGTTGCTGCTGCTGGTACTGCTGCTGCTGCTGCTGTTGTTGTTGTTGCTGGTACTGCTGCTGCTGATACTGGTGCATGTCCCTGTCGTCCATCCCCGGGGACATGCCAAAGTCATGTGGCACGAAGCCTTGCTGCTGCTGGAACGGCTGCCCGCCAGCAGGATGCGGAGGGATCACGGGCGGTTCGTCCATGCGGTCATCGAATGGCGACTGCTGGCGGTGGTGGAATACAG